TAACTCATAGTTTCTAAAGTAGATATTGTAGATTTCTAAAGCTTATATTAAATAACGAATACTATAATTGTGAATGATATTTTAGGTTTTTATAGCTAAGTAATTTCCTATTAATAGATTATTAGCTTTTTTGGTATAAAAAATATTCTAATTCAAAATTCAACATACTTCTAAAACTAAATACTTCCAAACAATTTTACAATTTTTGATAAATCCATAAATTCGATTGTTAGTTTTGATGCTGAATAAATTTTGATCATTGATTCTACATTTTTTTAAAACATTTGTCTATACTGCTAGAATGGTAATTTGTTTATTTAGTCTTCTTAAGCTTAAATTTATTATAGCAGTTTCTAAAACAATATAGTTTTAAACGGAGGAGGGGTTTACTTTAAGCCTCTTCAACAATCTTAGTAAAAAAATTATCATTTAGAAGTTGAATAGACCAATTTCACTCAAAACATAGCTTATAATAATGGAGGTGGATTATATATAGAAGAGAGCTCTGCTTTAATTTAAAACTGCTCATTTTCTAATAATAAAGCCTATTTATATGGTGGAGCATTATTACATAATATTTCTAATAATTAAATAGCTTAATAATTATTTAATAACCAAGTGGTTTTATTAAAGAACCATATTTTTCAAAACTAAGCAAGTATAGCAGGAGCATACTATTCAGTTTAAGGCATATTTCCTCAATACTTTTACACTAATAACACTCTCAATTAAAATTAAGCCAACATATTTGGAAAAGATCTAGTAGGATATGGAGCAGGTATCTAAATAATTATTAATCATATAAAAGTAGATTACTAGAATTTTATTTATTCTCACACAACTGGTAAATTTCAGGTAATATATTAAATAATTTTTTAAATAATATTTTTTAATTAAATAATATATTTTTGGGTGAATAAAATAAAATAAATATTTTTATTTTTAATTCTTAAAAAGGACTCTGTAATTGTAGAAGTAATCAATCAAAATGGAGAGGTTTTTAATGATTAATTGAAATAAATAAACTTAAATATTTAATTAAATTCTAATTTATACACATAGCATTATTCATTCAGATAAAATAATGGAACATTTAATTTAACTAACTTGATAAGTGTGTATGGTTAGTTTAATAGTGAAGTAGAATTAGTATTTTCCAGCGATATTATTTAAATTCCCCTTTACTAAAATATTTCTGATTCTCTGCAAATTTCTAATTATTCCTCAAAATATTACGCCTTTCTTAAAATAAAAATAAAAAATGAATGCAATCCTGGGTACGAGCTTTAAAAATTCTAAACCATTCTAGACTATTGTTCTCCTTGTTTAGAAGGTTATTATAACACACAACCTAATTAGCATTGTATTAAATGTCCAGATTCAGCCTATTATTGTAAATATCAAACAATTTGCTTAAAAAGGGATTTGGAG